CTGTTTGTAGTGCTGGAGAATGAGCTTCTCTGCAGTATTTAGCAGCTCATGCATTGCTTCATTACACTAGTACCAGGCCTGGAGAAGGAGGTTGACTAAATGTTTCAAGCTGAGTGCAGTGAAAAACTATAACAAAACCCCAGCATGAACAGTAAAAGCTAATGAGATTTTTTTTTTTAATCATTCTTTCCATGTTAATGATCATATGAGGCAACAATTGCTTAAAATGCTTTAAACTGAATTATGTTATCTTCAATTTTTTTTGGTTCCTTCCGTCTCTTACAGATTCATGCTTTCATTAAGAGCTCAGAAGCTGAAGAAGTGGATTTTGCAGGATGGCTTTGTTCAACTATAGGTCTCAACCAGCCAAGTACACCTACACATGCTGCTGGAGTCTGAATCTGGAGAGAATGAATCTTGTACTGTACATCTGTTAAAACCAGGCTATTTATATTTATCAAGCTTGTATCTGTTCAAACGTGTATTTCACCTCTTAAAGAAGGATGTCTGTTATAGCATGTGCCAAATTGTTCGTTTCAAATTCCTGTCCTAAATTAATTGCTATTGCATTGGATGACATTTGTAAACTGATCAAAATGCGTGAGGTGCTTAAGTTACAGTGCTTGCAGGTTTTTTGTGTTGTTTTTTTTAGTGAAGATGGATATTTTTCTCAGTGGCAATCTCACTGGTGGCATTTAGCGCCAGGTTGCTTGAAATCTAATCAGGATTCTTCGCAACTCGGTGGTACTTCAATCCTGCTGATCTAGTCTCCCAGAGAAGGTGGCAAGGGATCCTCTTAAACAGCACCTGTCGAGCATGCTTTTGCTGCTGCCAACCTGCATCTGAAAGTTAGTTGTAATGGTTCGGACCTTGCTTTTGTTTGGAGAATTCTTTCCAGTTAAATGAGACAAGAGCCCTCTATCTGCTAATACACAGGGCATTGTTCTGTGTGTAGACCTGGTCCTATTTCTACATTTTTAAAACATATCATCATACTTGGATTGGTTAGTGGTGTATGTCATCTTTTCTTTTCTTTTTTTTCAATTTTGGTATTTTTAAAATGAGTAGCTCTTTTCAAATGTCCTACAGAATCAAGGTGTAACCGTGCATCAGACTTGTTTTCTTTTAACCCAACTAAAGACTTGGCAGCTGTCTCTAGTGTATGAAGAGTCTCTATCACTTTATTCTTTCAGATGTTTAGCAAATTTAATCTCAATAAATATGATCAATAATATCTTTGGAGTCAGATGTTTTTTCTTTTTTGTTTTGTTTTTTTTTTTTTTAAATCAATAAAACCTGGTAGTAACTAGAATCTACAGCCAGAGCTTGCACCTCAAATGTGGGGTGATCACACTTGCATAATGGGAAGGGACACTGATATTTTCAGGAAATAAGCAACTATTTGCTACGATCACTGCGTGTTTAGCACAAAGCATTTCAACAGGCCCTTTCTGCCAGCCCCTGCCAGGGGCCAGCTTCCTTTTGGCTCCTGTTGTGTTGAACAGTTTTAAGGTTCATAAACGCTCTCACGCCAAGACCTTAAAAAGAATCGACACTTGACTGGACAGCTTCTGTCTCGCTGCATCACACGCTTCATTTCTGGACAGACCACTCCTCTTTCACAGTACACAGAGGGGCCTTCACTCAGGCAAACGTTGGCATGTTTTGTTTCCGCAATTGGACTTGGACCACTGGCTTGGATTTCTGGTGCCGGCGTGCGGCGTGCACACAAGTTCCACTTTTTCTACAATCTCAGTCTTGTGAAATGAGCTGCACGTTCGTGTTGGGTATCTTGTCCTCTCTACTTCTGTCTGCTTCTGAGGGAGATCTTAGAGCAGGACTCCACAGCTCGAGTGGTTTTGGTCAGGTGCTGTTTGCATTTGTGGTCGTAACAGCCTGTTGTGCAAGTGCCCTGTAACAAATATATCTAAGTGACATCTCTTAAGTTTAATGCTGGCTCAGCCTGGAACCGAATCATTAAAAAACAGACGGAGGATAATCTTTTAACGCTTGCGAGCTATTTTAAGTCAGGTTTGACTGTGGAAAGGCAAGCCTACCCCAGCTGATGGGAGAGCTGCACGTTGGGTGGTTGCTAAGCCATGTCTTATAAGGTCTCCTTTTATCTAAGCTGAAGCTATCTGGCTCTAATTTCTGCCTCTTGCTCAGCACCATAACTCTGCACCAAGGCAGCAATAATGCATTTTTTAAAAAGCAAAGCAAACCAAAGCTGGTTGGGAAATGTCATGAGAACAGGCCTTTGGAGATGGTGCTTTCCAGACTCAAGTGAGGCAAATCTTTCTTGTGGTAACAGCACATCCTGCCTCTGCAGCAAGTCGGAAATGCAGAAGAATGCGCACATAAAAACAAAACTGAACAAGCAAGAAGCCCACCTCCTGCCTACACTTAAGAGTACTTAAAAAGGAAGGTTCTTGGGGAAGAAGGGGGACAATCTGGATGAACCGTTGCCTGACCCTTTTAGGCTACCCCAAAACAGACGAGGATGGAAAAGGGGTGCAGATTGGCACATTCACTACCTCCTTCAAATTAAAAACTGAGATTAAAGAACATTTTCTTTTCCAGTGTGTAAATCATGCGTCCTGTGCTTATGCCCCAAACCCAGACTGCTTGTACCTGGCTCTAATCCGCCTAAGCTCAAGTGGACCATCAGTCCCATAGGACAAAACTCGAGTTGGATCCCATTCCTAGCAACTGATGATGCTTTATCACCACATGAGGTAAGTGGTGCTGGATACAAAGGCCCAGTCTATATAGAGCTGAAACAATCGAGGTCTTCAGGTCAGAATATTATTCTCATTCAGGTTTATACTGCACATGGAAGATGCTTTAGGGTTGTAAGTGATGAGGCTGAAACTCGCCATGCAAAGCTTGTTCTTCCTTGGGAGCATTTTAAACTTTGACCTACTGAAAAAAGCAGCGTCTGCCTTGCTTGTGAAATGCAACTGGTGAGGTTTGTGGCAGGGCCCAGTGCCATTAGGATTCAGCAGATTTGAGATCACCCCCACAAAAGCTCAGCATTGTGCAGGGACTTTATCTTTGCATCTAGACTGTTGCATTGTGTCTGAGAAGCGAAGGTGTTACTATAGTTCTCAATAGGGAGCTTTGAATATGATGCTAAGACTCCATGGGGAGTCAGCTGTGGATGCTGCATGCAGGGCTGATGCGCTCTTCAGAGCGGCGCTGCTACATTCGCTACGAGTTACAGGCTCCTGACTGCATGCACAGAGGTGCATCACGGTAGTCCAGGCAGGAGCTGATATGTGCTGCTAGGGCCAGGAAAGCCCCAAGAGGATGGAATGGACGTTCTTAGTGAGTTGTACATTTGCGTAAGAGCTCAGTATCCACAAGAAAGACAGGAGCACTCCAGGAGTGCAAACAACCCAGTGTGGGCAAGACTGCAGTAGAGCTGCAGGCTCCTCTGTGTTTTCTTTTAGCAGCATTGGCACCTGGCTTGTTCCAGTTCAGTCTCGAGCAGCTGCTTACCTGCACGGTCATCTCGTCTGATCACTGAACCAACCTGCTGACAAGGGTTCCTGTATGGTGTGAAGGGCAGGCAGAGCTGCAAGCACCTCCACTGGGCCCATGCCAGTCCAGTCTCAGGCAGCAGAAGGTCTATGTTGAGTGCAGCGAGAGGAAGTCTTGATCCTGAGATGAATTCCCCAAGGACAGATCAAGTAGCTGAAGAATGGCTAGCATCTCTTCAGCATCTTAAATTTGTCCTTCCAGGAAGATTCAGATTATTCCAGCGCATTGCTCTGGACGCCTGCCAAATACCTCTTGCTCAGCAGTACCAAATGCTGCAGAATGACAATGACTGTTTGCCCTCAACTAATCCACAACAGGAGATTGTTTAGTAATGCCTCCATCCATTTCCGTCCCTTTGCCTAGTTTGGATCCAGACTGCCTAGTGGAACAGTGCCAACCCTGCGTGTGAATGGAGTTGAGAGCTCTTCACTCCAGGCTGCAGTCCAGAACTACAGCATGTCTGCAGGTAAAAGCATGGTAATGACCTATTTATGAATGACAGGTCACAGAACACTTTTATATTCTCCTTTACCTGCTTTCCCCTTCCATGCAGCAATCTTAAGCACTACAAGCATACTTGGCCCCAGGATGACAGTAGAGGGTGACATGGTACAGGCCCTTGGAACAGTTTTAGCAAATGGAAGTAGGCATTTATCACGGGTTCTCAGCACTGCTATTTCAGCAAGTCAAAATTCTCCAGTCCAGTTTCAGCTGCAGAGTAGCTATCCCACGACACTGGGTTTGCCTTGACACAAAGGGTAAGAAGGCAACAAGATGTCACCATTTTGGGGCACAGCACAGCAAAATGCTGATGATCTACTTGGCCATAAAGAGTACAAAAAGCAAGCAGCCCTTGGCCAGAGACCCCTATAACCTGAATGTCCAAATGCATTACTTATTAAAAAAAACAACCCTACAAAAAACCAAAACCACCATTTGCAGGGTCAGGGTTTGCCATTCCAAGCTCAACTTCAGACTTTCTTACCTAAGATGACAGCATTGGCTCCAGTGAGTTTGAGACAAAGCTTACACACCATCTTCCTACAGCAAGATTCAATTTTTAGTTGCAATGACATCCAGCCTAATCAGAGCCAAACCGATCTTTAACGGTGTTAAAGAATTGTGAGCGTGTCCAACCCCCAGCACCCATAACTACACTGCACACTTAAATTCTCAGTAAGAGGAAGGCAATGTTCTAGGTCAGAAACTTTTCAGTGGCGGACTCTTCTTTTAACCACATGCAAGATATTCAAACACTGCATGCTTTTCTTTTCTTCCTAAAGTAAACTTTAAGAAGAAGATACGTTTGGATTGTCTGTAGTTCTGTACGAGGGTGTCGCTAATGTCTGATGCTACAGAAATTTAACACTCTTAGTGTAGCAGAGACAACCTCGGAGTGTTCCCCTCCCAATTTTAACCATATCAATGTTTCTCAGTAAACCAGGGTGACAGGAATGTTCAAGATACTATTTTATTTCCTATTTTTATCAGCATCAGTACAGGTTTGGTTTTCTATGTTTCCATACAACCATTTAAGGGATGATACAACAACCAGCTGCCTCAGTCTTGTAACTGCATGCCATCGAAGAGGAGAAAATGCTTTGTTGGCCGATACGTGACACTAAGTGATTAGCATAACATTGCAAGGATTCCGGAAGGGCTCAACTTGCACTTCCTAAAGTAACAATCCCAAGAGACTTCCTCTGGTACAAATCCCGAAGCTGAAGATGGCTTTACAAAGATTAAGTTAAAGCTACATGCCAGGTTGGCTGCTACATGACAGCGGTCAGACTCCCCGGTGAGGACAACACTGATGACAGGCGATTTTCTGCCACCGGAGCCAAGCTCTGGCAGCTGGTAGACCGGCCCCCCCCAGGCCAGGTGCTATCTTTTCATACCCCTGCCAGGCACAGCTCTGCTGGAAAAACTCCAGTACATGTTAGACTTGCTATGGGAAAAGGATGACAAACCTAGTTTAAGTGTTATCCCAGTTCAGGGAAGAAGTTGTAAAGTGGCTTTTCTTTTGCCACCTGGGCACAGGTAGATGCTGACCGGCTGCTACTCTTCAACAGGAGCTTCCCTGGGACTCTACAATTTGCACCTGGTTTAAAAATACTGGTCTCCTTCACCTTCGCATTCACGCTGACAGTGCAGCGTGAGGAAAGCACCAGTGATACGGAGAGGTTCCTTTGCTGTCGGGCTCAGGATGAAGCTGGCATTCAGAGCCCCTAGTGCAATAGCTCCTGCTCCCAATGCACCAATACTTCATTTCTGTCACATTTGTAGGGAGTACGACATTGAGTTTTCCACACAGCTGAGAATGCACCGATGCAAACAAGCATGCAAAAACCGTCTTGGACCACATTCCTTCTTCCTGCATGTTAAAAAATTCTCAGCCTATGCAGATGAGGTTATACAGTACCATTAGCTCAGCAGCGAAATGCTGAGCTCTGCTATTAAATCTCAGCAATAAGAATTACAGTTGGACAGGTTATTGCTTTTAGTGCACTACTTAATTTAACTTGACTAAGGACTTTTTCCCACTATATACAAACACTTGGTAAACTCCATGTTAGGCTTTTAAAAGTAAAAAGGATCATGCTACATATTTGTGCAAAAACTTTCCACTCTTTTTACACCCAGAACAAGGTTTTGCCTGGCGTGTGCTGTCTTGTGCCATCCGTCTAACCTCCTTGGAGCTCTTCACGAGTCAGTTGTGCGTGTAGTTCAGATCTGCGTCCGGCCCCCTCCGCCCCCCACCCTCCCCCTCAAAAACCAGCCCTGATGGGAAGTTTTGCTTGAACATTAGGGATGTTCCTGAGTCCGTGATAAAGAGACTAATTATTTCCCACGCTTCCCCTTTCAGGAGTCCAATTCTTCCTCCTCCTCCTCCTCCTCTTCCTCTTCCTCCTCAAGCTCTTGAATACTTAACTGCAATTCAGTTTGATTGATAGCAGCCTCGTTGTCCATCTGCCCAAGAGCCTGGTATGACAAAGAGCACCACCGCTCAGTTACTCAGAGGAATAATAATGCTGGATACTAGAAAAGGAAACAGCTAGGAAAGATTAAATGAACCTCAACCGCCTTTTAAACCAGCGCTTCTCAACCTTTTTTTTGGACCAGGACCCATTTGTGAACACTGATGGCCAGCCCGGACCCAGGCCTCAGCCCCAGCGGTGGGGGCCGGGGGAGCCCCAAGCAGCTGAAACGCCTGCAAGGGAAAAGCCACCGCTTCCCATGTTTTCCTCCTTTAAAAGAGAACCCATTTTACAAAGTTGGTTCCCGTCCCTTTCATATATTCTTGCCGCCCACGGGGTTGAAAAACACCGTTTTAAAGGGACCTCGGTGCCGGACTCCCCGCACTGCTGAGCAGCGTTTTCTCCGCAGCCTCGTCTGAACTCCTCCTAAACCAACCCCACGTCCAGCAACAAACCGTCACCGCCGTCTGCACCAAGTCTCCACGCCCCGAAGCGGGAAGCGAGGCGGTCGCGCCGCCGCGCCACCCAGCTCCCGGGGACGGCGCGACGCAGAGTCGAGGAAACGACACACCAACAGGGGCGCGGAGAGACGCTCTGGCTGGCGACGGGACGTCCGCTCCGGGCCCGCTGCAACTAGAGCGACCCCAGGCGGGAGCAGGACCCGGACCCGGACTCACCTTCTGCGCCTCGTCTGCGGCGACGGCAGAGGACGAGACGGTGACGAGCTCCTCCCGCGAGCTGATCATGGAGCGAAGCGCCAGCTCCTCCACCTGCAACGGGGCACCCTCAGCGCTGGGCCGGCGGGCCCGATCCTGATCCTGACCCCAGCCCGGGGGGGGGGCGGGGGCGGGGGGAGGGGGGG